GGCTGTATTACCCACCCACATTTGGTTCATGAATAATATTAGCCAATGACCGAAAACAATCAACCGATTGTATATACAAGTGACCTCATATTTTTAGCATGACTGCTGATTGAATGAAGTTTTTGACAAAATAAAGTAATTTATGCATGAGTTATTTTAACACTTATGTACTTACAGTAAATGGTAATGGAAGTGAACTAAATGCCTTCTTGATTGAGCTAAGGGATCCCAATTCTAATTCAGTCTCTGCTGTATTCACTTGATCTTCTAGTAATGTCACGTCTTGCTTTACTCTAGTAACAAACACCTGTAGACAACGCCATATAGTTTACTACACACAACTAACCAGGTCTTAGAGGTACTAGACAATACACTATAGTTAACCAGAGTTTAGTAGATCAAGACAACACCATGATAATTAACAACACACAACTAAACCTCAAGCTGACAAGTTGTGAACTACTTTCAATTGTCATGAGTCTGTAATTTCCCTGTGTTTACCTATGCCCCATCACAGTCATTGTGAAATTTGCTTACCTCTAACTGGTCAATTTTGTTAAATATTCTCCTCATTTCTACACTCTTTGCATGAATATTCGGTATGGTGCTATTCAGACACAATGAAGAGTCATCACGTATCTGCAATAACAAATTAATTCCAATTTCACTTGTGTGTGCAAGATCAGTCAGTTCTGTGTTTTCATTTGTAAGCATAACAAATATGATTAATAAGTTGAAGATATTTGTTGACCTTTAGACACAAGGTTTGAAAATACTGTCAACATGTTGAAATAGCCACACGCTAATTTTTTTCTTTTAAATAGTTTTTTGTGCCAGGCGACAACTATGGACATTGAATGTCACTGTTGTCTCTCCTGACTTTTTTTTGTATGTGCAAATTGCAAGTGCACCTGGGGACACAAACACCTGCGGACTTTAACCAAGGTTCCCCCAAAGTCACATTCGTTACTGAATGAATCTCGGCCAGAGAAATAGGCTTGCCCATTGAGTCTGTGGCACACTCACTCACTCACCCAGGGTAGGGGTCGACCCTTTTGATGTTCAGCCTAAGGTAGGATTTGAACTTGGGTCTACTGGTCATGAGTCTGATGCGACAACCACTTCAATGCATGAATTAAAAAGAATTTTAATTTAGCTAAGGTGTCAACAAACTCATTATGAGAATATATATTTTATTTTAAACTAGCAACATCTTGAAATATCATTTTAGCAAAAAATTAGCTAAAAAGACGCTCTTAACAGTGGACTGAGAAGCAAAAATAGTATAGTTAAAACCCATATTAATTAATGGCATTACAGTATATGTACCTACCATATTTACAGAACTGATAAATTCATCTAGTTTCATCAACATATCTTCAACAGAGTCTTCCATAGTGGCTCTCTATACAAAGTAATAAATAATTTTTGTTTAAATGCCATTTTATAGTCTGTAAATAAATCATTTGATTAGAAGTTGTTGTGATAGGGATTTGGGACTGGTAGAGTGAGCTCACATAAGCAGTTTCATACTAAACCAAAATCTAAAGCATCATGATATAAGAGTCGTCAATGAGGTCCTCACCAGAACCAGAACAAGAAAACAGTTATGAATTAACAGTAAAAATATATCATGCCATTTATTTCTTGAATGAATGGACAATTATTTTTATCTTATTTAATTTGAATCAGTTTATAAGCAGTTATCATCACATTGATTGCTTTGTTTATTTGAATCAGTTTATAAGCAGTTATCATCACATTGATTGCTTTGTTTATTTGAATCAGTTTATAAGCAGTTATCATCACATTGATTGCTTTGTTTATTTGAATCAGTTTATAAGCAGTTATCACATTGATTGCTTTGTTTATTTGAATCAGTTTATAAGCAGTTATCACATTGATTGCTTTGTTTATTTGAATCAGTTTATAAGCAGTTATCATCACATTGATTGCTTTGTTTATTTGAATCAGTTTATAAGCAGTTATCATCACATTGATTGCTTTGTTTATTTGAATCAGTTTATAAGCAGTTATCATCACATTGATTGCTTTGTTTATTTGAATCAGTTTATAAGCAGTTATCACATTGATTGTTTTGTTTATTTGAATCAGTTTATAAGCAGTTTTCATCACATTGATTGATTTGTTTATTGATGAGGTATTGAGGAATGAGCTGTATTCTGAGAAACAACATGCAGAAAAAAATTAAATAGCTCTGATCCAGCGTCTTTGAAACAATTTAATGTGTATTTTTGAATGCACCATCTACAGGCGTTTATGTGTCTGTTTGTTAGCATTCTGTGATTACTACCCTTTAAGATTCTTTTGCAATTCATATTAGGATCTTCATTGCATTATATTTCTAATATTTTCTAGAAACTAACATGTAATTTAGTTGATGTAATTTCAATTGATGAAGTATAATTCATCAATTCACTGTTTTTACTTTTGAAAACACAATAATAATATCAAGTTGCAGTGAATCGCAAATCATAGATTGGTTTTGTATTTGTACAGTGAGTGAGCACTCCGAAAGTGCCAGGTGACTAGTTCATTTTTGAATATAATAAAAGTACATGTGAACAAAAGACAATATGTTAATGTTTATTGCGACTACAGTCACTTGGTGGCTGACAATCGATTTCACTGGGCAAAATCGTTGGTATACGGCGGGTACATTAGCGTATTCGCACGCGTATATTCCCGATATTCGAAGATATACGTTGGTCGGCGCACACGTACATTCAACGTATGTACGGGGAATACGCAACATATATTTACACATTCGGAACATACTGATACGTAAATATACACAGCAGTATATTTACGCAGACCGGAAGTATACAGTGCGCACATTAACGTACACCTAATGCAGAACAATGCTGTCTAACGTATTCATACGTATACGTAGTATATACGGACACGTGATAAACCACTGCACAGAGTTAATACTGACGC